CGCGCCCCCGAGGGGCCGCACTGCGCCGTGCTAGAAGTCATGTAAGTGCCCCCGTCCCCGTCCCCGTCCCCGCCCCTGCCCCTGCCTCGCAGCGGCCCCCTCGCTCACCCCCTCCGCTCGCCCCCAGAGCCACGACGAAGCAGGGACAGACGATCTGCCTGAACCCCTCCGCACCTTGGGTCCAGCTCATCGTCACCAAGATCCTCAACAGGTACCTGCCACGGGCTAGGACAGCGACTGCTTTCTGGGCTGGGGCCTCATGCCATGCAGCAGCCACCTCTAACACAAGTACTTTCGAAGGCCAAGCTTCGCTATAGGCTGGATTTAAAATCAATGTAAATGCTGCCAGAATAACAAGCCACATTCTGCCATTGACTCCTATGGGGAATTCTGTTTAGTTACGCCACACGCTGGTCCAAGAACCAGCTTCTTTGGATGGGAAGAGAAAATCTAAGTCAGGTAGAGTATCCACGTCAAATGCTGGATCAAATGCAAATCACCTTGCCATCACAAGGGCCAGTGCAGCCTCCGCCTAGTACACAGAGCTGATGCCATAATTTTACCATCACCATCAGGCATCTTTTGCAGAAGACGTATCCCCTACGGGGTTTGCAAAAGGTCTCAAGTATCTGGGGCATGTCAGAAGCCTTAGGGAAAGGTTTTCTAATTTGCTTTAAATGTGATGTGCATTCTGTCTGTTGCAGTCCACATAAGCAGCTCTGAGGGACGAAGAAACAACTCTAAATGAAGTTACCTGTATTTGCAAGAAGATATGGGGAAATGGATGCTGGAAGGAGATAATAGGCAAAGTCTCTACTTTTGATGAGCCTGCAGACAGCTGTCCTATGTTCAGTCCCGTTAAATGTCTCCACTCCTCTTGTATTTATTATTGCCTGTTTTTATGTATGTATTTATTGACTTAGCTAAAGTGATTGAATTCATTTGATACTGAAACATATGCTTTGCTAGGCACCTCTCTGGGATTTTGGTGCAGTTTTCACTATTTGATAAGACATCCTTTTTGCAAACAGGTTCTTATAAATAGCATTCATATAAAAAAGAAGATGGTCAATTGTGAAGACCACTGTGTAAATGGCACCTGTGTTCAGATAGTCTGATATATAGAGGTCTGAATGGGTAGTGTTGCTATTCTAAGTTTGCGTGCTGTTTTGCACTTAGCATTTTAGGCTACATTCAAGATTACACCAAAATAACAACTGATTAAAGCAAATAATAGTACTGTGCTAACATGCTAAATCTATTGCCTCAGCTGCATAAATGAGTCTTGGGCTCAGAATGCTTTGCTAAGTCTTTTTTTTCCCCTATAACTTACTAACCTTTACCATACAATGCCTAGGATCTTTTTGCACACAATACTGTATAATGAAATCACAGAAATCTTGCTCCTGAAATCTCAGTCTATTCTCTACTTATCAGTTCAGGAATTTCCATGAAATTGTGGGGTTGCATGGCTAGTTAGTATGCCTAGATTTTTTGTTTCTTACAAGAACTTTTTTAGTTAAATGAGTTATTCATAATTTGGTATTTATACACAAGGTATAAAAGAGCAGTAATGTTCTGAAGAGGCTTAGATATTTTATGTCTTATCTGTATGACATACTGTCATAATTCATGTAGAATAAGTCGTTCCTTATAAGTTCCTTATTCTGCTTTAAATATATTTATTTTAAAAGGTGGACTTATGTAATGATAATGTAATGAAATCCAATGCAATAAAAATACTTACTTGTTGAAAAATATACTGTGTTCTTCAGTTAATTTCATGTTATAACGGGCATGTATGCCTGTTAAGTTTGGCTATCCAAGAGGCAGGGAAGCACTAACTTATGTATATGCCCAGGGATTCTCAGGCATAGGTGTAGTCCAGTTTTCTGTGAAGTGTTGGGGCACTTCATACTGAGCAAACATGCTTTTAGATGCAGAGGTCTATTATTTAAATCCTTCATTTGCAGTTGCCTATATGAAGAGCGATTACCATAGAATGCATGTACTGAATCAAAGAAAACCCTCAGAAATCGCAGGAACTTGTACTCTGGTTTAACTTTAATGGAGGCCATGCTTAAAGATGAATATGTTTTACTGAGTGGGAAGGAATAAGATTCTCTGCTGCAGTAGGAAACCATGACAGTTTCCAAGTGGAAACTGTAAATTTGTTTCTACAAAAAACTTGTTCAGGTTCCAGCTGTAACAAGGAGTTCAGATACCATTTAAAGCATAGACTCTCTGTCCCTGTTATGTTTTAAGTATTTTTCCAGGTTTTTCATACAATTTTAGCTCAACCAGTAGTTACATCATACTTATTTAGTGATGGCAAACTCAATTGCTGTTTGCTCATGGAATTTCAACAGGACATTATATGAAGATATAACCATATCCTGGCCTCACTGACGTGAATAGCAGTCATATAGTGTTCTTCTATGACAATTGAAGAAAGATGGCTCATCTAGAACTACACATCTTCTTAGCACAGTCCTGGTTTTGTTTGAGAGAATTCACAGAGAAGCAAATTCTTGAAAAAGCCCTGTCCTTGTTCCTTATTTCTTCCTCTTTACCTGGAAAGTTAGATTATCTTGTGCTACTACATGTTACCTTTTCCAGGTGTGGACATAGAGAAAATTATGAACTTTGAAAACTTCTTGTGGTGCTATAAAATAGCTTTTCTCTCTGCAATGCCACAATTTTAAAGTCTAACAGTTAGGCTGTTATAGTTGGGAGAAAGTGTTACATCACTCAAAAAAGGAGAAATTATTTCTTTTTTTAAGGATCGCATATTCCTATTATTGGTCTTGAAGGGAAAAAGTCTTACTACGTTTAAAGCCCGTCCCAGGGACAAGAATTTATTTTGCCTGACTTGTCCATCAGATGAGCGCACCTAGTTAGAGGGCAGCAGGGCTAAGAAGATGTTCTGCATCTGAGAAAAATGCTGAATCCAATTCATTCATGTTTGCAAAAAATAAAGAGATAGGGGAGAGGTTAATCTGGACGAAGATACATGTCAAAAACAAATCAACGGAGAATCGAGGGGGAGCTCACATATATGTATATAAAGAAATAAATAAAATTGCAAAGTGTGAATTTTACAATATGTCTGCTATATATATTTATACACACATATGCATATAAGCGCACACACATCTATCTAGATAAACTACATATTATGAAATCACAAAATGACTTGAATTATAGACATTCCACTACACAACTGGCTATTTCATTTGGTCATAACTTGACCTACCTAGAAGTTGAAGGCTTCTCATGAAATGACTAGTGTTACTGGCACAGTCATATGGCGAATACTGGCTATAAGGAAAATGAGTAGCTTCCAAATGACCATGATACTACTATTTGGCAGACAAAAATATTCAAAGAGTTTCCCCACTTGGTGCTCAGTTCCTCTCAGATAGCCAAAACTGGAGTTGTTATTTGCTGTCTTCCTCAAGAACATTTTCCATCTCAAAATTTATCCTAGTAGACTGTTTCCTTTTTCCATTTTTTTCTCTTTTTTTCTTAGACTATTTTTCCATTTTTGTTAGAGAACAAAAGAGAAACTTTGCTTTTTTTCCCCCTCCTTGGGAGTCCTATTTGCTATGGATTTAGGTCCCTGTGCCACTTGGCACCTCAGTCAGAGGTAATGCTTCAAGAATTCAAGGAGGTCGTCTTCCATCCCAGGCATCTGCCACACTTCTGGGTACCAAAGCTCTGTGACTATTCACTTTGCAAAAACCCTAAAACTTCTCACTGTTCCAAGAAATAGCCTCAGTTGTGAAAATGAGCTTAGATCTGTAGATTGACATGCATTACTGTATGATTTTGAAAGCAAATGAATTCTAAATATATATTGGTGAAAAATGTTTTTACTCATAATTTTGAGTTAACAGTTCAAAATACTGGTAATTAGGTACTTTATAACATTTTTATCTATTGTTTTCAGTCATTTTCTAAAACTATCAACATTTTAGCCATTTCATGAAATTATCGATTTCACAATATGCCAATATACACATACACACAAAACCATTGGCATAATGATGCCAAAATGTTTCTGTATTGACCAGATAGAATTGAGTGTCTCAACTTCAGGAATCCTTTCTGAATACAATGTTTGAGGCATATCAAAATCATCAGCAGTTCATTTTGACAGAAAGCAGGGCTGGTCTGGGATTGAAAGCAGGATGTAGTACACGTGTCTGGTCATACACCAGGAGACAGTACCCAGCCATGTGGCAAATGCATGCCTTTTTTTAAGCATAGGTCTGAATTCTCCTCTCTGGAGAGACATCAAAAAAGCATAGGGAAGAAAAGATCTGAAAAAATAGATGTGTTCAGAAGGGTTAAAGGCAAAAGCATAACAAGAAGACAGTCTCTTTGCGCTGAATTCCACTTGACATAAGCACAAGCAATCTTTTAAATGCCTGTTTTGACCAGAAATCCAAAGGGACTTGCGAGAAGGAATTAAATAACCCTTGACTAAGAAGAACACAGCAACACCAAGGAGGGCTAAGGGCATAGAACGGTTCATGGGAAGATGGTGGCTGTTCCCAGCATTTTCATAGTGCGTGTGTGTGTGTGTGTGCGTGTGATTGCACAAGTACAGCAAATCCTCATTCAAACAAATCCTGATCCGAGCATTATTAGTTCTCATTTAAAGGTATGGGAGCTGATTTCCTTACTGCCTGAAACGATAAAGTTAAGCATAGGTATAAGTGTTTGCTAGCAGTACCTCATATTCAGAGGCATTAAAAACCCACAACTTCCTAAAACCATCACTTTTATTATTGTTTTTCTTATACAATATGAGTACATTCAAGAAGAACTGTTCTCTGGACCTCAGAGCATGTGACATGGCATGGCTCATGGCCATAGAGCTAAACTCTCTTTTTCCACACAACGGTGAGTCTGCATCCACATTGACCCTGACCCATGCTGCCCCCTTAATGTGCTGGACATTATATGGGACACTGGCACATCGGCCAGAACTGTGCCAGGGAGCATGCTAATACTTAAACAGTCTGGAGGATCTCTTGAAGTTGCTCAAGTCCACATTTAAGCCTTGTTTGATCTATTAATGTAAATGGAACCCTATTGTCTCTTCCCTTACATTTGGTTCCAAGTTTTCCAGACAGAAACAGTTCATTCTGAGTTGGATCAGCATCTAACTGCAAGGTGGTCCTGACCTCTGAATACTCCCCTGATCATGTGAAGGCTTACCTAGCCGCACTGACAGAAGAGTCCCACAGGAATGAACTCCTACCATAGACTTAATTATATGCAAGTCATTACTGAATATCATGATCTTAATGTGATAATCCTCTTACTTCCTCATCCTAGCCAATTAATGCTTTTTATTTTCAATCAATTGCAATCCAATTAATTGGATTTCCACTAATTGTCTACTAGTAGGTTGATTCTGCTTTGTATTTCAGCACTCAGAGAGAACAAAGCAAGTAGTGAGCTAGAAATGATGACAAGAAGGGAAGCTTAATATCTCTCTCACTGCTTTAACTCCTGCTTGAATATGTGTGAAAAGCTCAGATTGTAGGTACTTGAGCATCTTATGCATTTCTTTGCTATTCTCATCTAATTCATCTGCCCCATCTCAGTCAGTCAGGGAGTTTGAATCTCTTCTCACACCAGCTTTGCCTGAGCATAATTCCACTGATTTCACTGCATTCACTTCTGAATTATGCCGCTGAACAGTGAGTAAAAGAGGACAGCGCACATGAAGCTCAACTCTATAAACAAAAGAGCTGAGCAAAAAGCTCATTCTCTCTTAGTGTTTCAGTGTTTTCCTGGAATTAAGAAAATGTCACAGCAAGCATAGTGGCTCCAACATACTGCTAAGTTACAGGTGTGTTAGCACAGTCTGCTTCATCTCAGATTTTCCCACTATCTATTTCTTCTGGTTGTGCAAAAAGGCAGGAGCGAGAAGTAATTCTATCTGCATGTGCATGAGCATGAGAAGCAAATCCCAGAGTATAACAGTGTCAGCAGTCCCAAGTGAGTCTGGAGACACAGCCGAGTTTGCTTTCAGTTCACTATAAGAAGGCAGAGAGAGCAGTCATGGATAGCAAGATTGTAATCTCTCTCCTGAGTCTCGCTTTTATGGGTTTCTTTCCTGGTAAGAAAATTTGATTTATTGTCCTTCATATTTCAATTTGCATGCAATATGGTCGAACTAAATAGAAGGTTTTCAAGGTGTTTAGAAATTTCATACTCACACTATCTTCGAGAGAGCAGGTTAAGGAAAACCTATCCATGGACTGTAGGAGTGGGCCTATTTCTTGCCTCCTACTGTTCTTCTGCTAGTGGAGATTCACTGACATTGGTGAACTTCTCCCTTACATAACTCTGATCAAAATTAAATTAGAAGCAGAGCCTGAAAAGGGACAGTCTGCAATAACTGTGTGGCATATTCCAGGGTATTTTTGCGATAACAGCCCCTGCAGATGAAAGCTTGGAATATTTAGCTCAGTTTTGAGTTAATCTGTTTTTACTCAACAGCCTTCTGTAATGCTTCCAGCTTCTGCATCATGTGGATGCACGCTCCAGCTGCACCATAGCTTCATGTTGGGATGACACACACGTGCAGTCTCTCCTGGGACAGAACAGAGCTGCGATATGCTATGGCCAATCTCAGAAACAGACAATTGGGGAACAGGACACTGTTCCATACTTCCCTGCAGTGAAAGGCTGGCACATCCTTTGGGAACCGTACTTTCCTCTATAGAGTCTGCAGAAGGGATATTCTAAAGTTTAGATAGGGCGATGCTGCTATACTGTGATGCTCTGTGCTTCCCAGTGCTTTGACTTTCAAGTGCATTTGTTTCTGCTTTCTGTCAGGTAGGGAGGGAGGTGTTGCTCAGCCAAAAGAACCATCAGCAGTTTTAGCTGGACAGAAAATGAATAAAGAAGGGAAACAGGTAGATAATCATATCCAGGTATAAAAACTAGCACAGGGTGAGCTAAAAGAGTTTTTACTTTACTTGTTTGATCCATATTCCACTTCTCCAAAGCCTGTCATCTAAAGCAAGTAAATGTTGGAGATGGCCCAGAGTCCTGGGCTGTGCAGTTGCTGTTTGGTATTAAAGATGTAAAGACCATCCACTGTAATAGAGGACTGATGAACGGACAGGGATTTCAGCTCCTGTGGCTTTACTCATTTTAATATGAACCTCTGTGTCTCCTGCATCCAGTTACCTGGACCTTTGCTACTTGTTGATGCTGCCTTAAACAGTAGTGAATGTCCCCTTTCAAATATTTTCTGTGGTTGAAATATCAGGAATTTCAAGCTGAAGATGCAGGTTGTCTTTGTAGGAACAATGGAGAAAAGTTGCAATTATACATTTTAACCTGTAATATATTGACTTGAAACCAGAAGGATATCCCAGAGTCTGCAGTGCATGGAGCTGGGAAAGCCCTGGACTTCATGGTTTGTAATCTTAGGTAATTCACTTCACCTCTCTGCTCAGTCTCTAAAACTGAGATAAAATTTTTTGCTTCACTAGGGAAATGTGGGTCTGGAAGGGCTGTCATGCAATAGCAAACCCAGTCCTTGGTCTTGTGTGTTGTACAATATGTGGCATAATTTGATCAAACTCCATCCCAAAGCTTGTTAAGTTTCTTGCTCCTTGTACTTACACAGAGTGGCTTCAGAGGCTCCCACACCTTTCCTAGCATATTGATCAAGCTCCTGAGCTGAATATATTCATGGCTTTTTTACACCAAGTTCCAGCGTTGTCTTTTAGCCAAAACAGGTTTTCCTCCGGGCTGTATTCATGGAGAGTAGTTGTCTGTCTCTTCAGCTATCTTTTTCTTCCTCTCATAAGATAGGTTTCCCACACTTCTGATAATTCCAGTACTCTATAATTGAACATGATGTTGTGGCATGCTGAGATAATTGTGGCTGTAACTGCAGCCTAAAACTGTTAAGTGCACAAAATCTGCAGATCTCAGATACACTGTTCTCCCTCAGTGAAAGTACTACCTGAACTTATAAAAATTTATAAAAACTTAAACTTACAAAATGTTAGCAATTGATTTACACATTGCAGCATCAACTTTTTATCCCTTCTGCATTCTTTACTCAATTTCTTTTTTGCTGTTAGTTTGATTGAGTTCCAGACACGATGAGCTTCCCTCTCCTTCACAGGGATGATGCTGGCAGCAGAGCTGCGGTGTCACTGCATCCAGACTGCCAAAGGATTAATGTCGCCAAAGCATGTGGCCAAAGTAGAAATCATTCCTAAGGGCCCACACTGTCACACACTGGAAATCATGTAAGTAAAGCCAGCAGGCAATAGAAGGTATGCCTTATGAATGCTGAAAAGTTGGCAGCCCTTGAGCATAAAATCCTCTGCCTGTCTTCATTCTCCTCTGACCTCCTCAGGTACCAATACTAAAGTGAAATGTTCATTCCATTGTAGAGCTACATTGAAGAACAGCCAGCAGGTCTGTTTAGATCCCCAGGCCAAATGGATGAAGATGATAATTAACAAGATTCTACACAGGTATCTGTCAGAACTATCTAGTAATCGGAATTATTTCGCCAAAGGTCATATTTTCTCAGATTTTCAAAGAGTGTTCCATGTACTCCCTCTAGTATAAACATCAATGCATGTATGATCTTCAGTGGTCTTTCTCTGAAAGCCATTTGAGCAGTGAAAGGCTAGGAATATAGGAGAAGAGTTAGCTGATCTTTGGACAAGGCAGAAGCAAAGCTTACCTCATATATCCTTGCAATTAAGAACTAACAACCTAACTGCTGTGTCACACATTCAAGTGAGTATATTGGTCCAGGGTTCCTCAGGAGAGCGTTCTGCTCTGCAAGAGAGCCAAGGGCAACATTTGAGCTTTGGGGAGGAACAGTCCTGAAAGCAGTACAAAAAGATTGCCCAGAACTGCCCCACACCAACTGGTCTGCACAACACAAAGGATAAAGAAAGATCAGTAGTAGAACAAGCTTCTCTTGTGTCTGTGGATGGATGCATCTCCTTCAAGATAAACTACATACCATATCTATCTGTGTAAGCTTATTTTAGAATAGTTTTGAGTGACTTCTTACTATTGCAAATTAAACAAATGTTCAGCCAAAAAGAATCAAAAAAGAAAACACTTCTTTTTTTCCACTAAAAGAGAGTCTGCTTTTTGTCCTGTTTTATACATTAGTACAATTAATCTCACTGTATTGTGCCTGTAGTAATTCTTTACAATATCTGCATTACAGTTCACCCAACAAACAGCATCAGTAAAGAAAACAGAGACATCTCTGCGAATAAGCCAAAGCTGCATGGACGTGCCATTAGCCTTTAAGTGTCTCCAAGGTCGGGGTATTCATAGTTTTACTCTTGCTTTTTCTATTCTCACTTCTCTCCATGCACAGATTGTTAGTCTGCGAAGGGAAACTGCTGGATTTAATAGCCTGTCACAACACTAGTAAACTCTGGCCCTTTATGGTAAAATTTTACACTGCACTTTCCTGTAGAGGCATTTGGAGCAATATCCTAGGCAAGTCCAGCCTTACACTGGTCAGCGGGAAACACTTGCACAGGTTTAGCAACACCAGGGATTTGGCTTTCACTGAACTGGTGCCTACACTAAAGCATTTGTGAGCTTCATTCTACTTGGCTATGAAGTACAGTTTTGTCTAGTCTAAGAGGGCATAGTTTTTAAAGAAAAGAAATGCTAACCAAAGGAGATTCTTACTGAAAGTAAAAAAAAAAAATGGAGGGGGGAAGTAAGAAAAAAAGGAGTTCCTCAATGTCAATAAACTAATTGCTTAGAGATAGCTTGTTCAATGAAGTGAAACAAATGATGCAGGATTTCAGTGTTTAAAAAGTTGGTCTTATGTATATGAAATAGATTGCTAAGTTTAAAACAGCAGAGTCGTCGTAATTCTTGTTTTGTCACAAACATGTCTGTTGTTATAGTATAGACTCTATAGTATTACATAGAATACTCTCTACATAATATATACTCTGTATATAATATATACGCTATATTGTATATAATACTCTATATAATACTGTAGACTCTTCCATATAGAAGGTTTTAAGTAGCCATCAATTCAACTTTTCAGAAATGAAATGGGAAAAAAACGTGCAAGAATCTCTTCAACGTTTCAAGCAGGACGAAATATCTTACAGGGTTTTGCCGCATGCATACTATTGTGAGGGTTTATTCATAGTGTACCAAGGCTGCAAAGTAAACAAAAATGTACAATAAATATAATTCTGTATGACTGCATGCACTATTCTGAATTGCTATGTCTGTTTTTACATGGAAATAACCTAGATTTTAAATTCACTTTCAGTAATACAAATATTTTGCTAAAATACACTTGCCATTTAAATAACATTTGAATACTATCTTATTTTCAAAATAAAAAATGCCCTTTCTCCATCTGGACACAGACACATTTTTGGTTCTTATGTATGCAAGACATCTTCACATCATTGTTGAAAACTAACATTGTAGATTTCCAAACAAATCTGAGAGACAACTTCTCAGCTGTGTAGCATGATAGGCTATTTAAGGACTGCCTGACTACTTAACAAATGAAAAAAAAAACAAACCAAAATAAAAAGCATTGCCATTAAGACTGTTTGCTTACAGATAATTGAAAAAGTGTTTCTTGTAAGATTTTCCTTCCACATATATTGAAAAAGATGCTGAGTTTCCACTCTAGTATTTGGATAAAAGCAATATTTAATTCAGAATTAACTGAAATAAGGCAGGTGTTTTTGCTTACTTTACATTGCCAACAGCACATGTTGGTACTGGGAGCACATACTTATATTACAGAAGGAGGTGCTAATGAAAAATGTCAGATAAATGCAGTTTTGTGTGATGTATGCTTCACCCAAAATTGCAGTTTTGGATTCTAATTCCTGTCTCTGCAGACAGCCAGTGACAATGCTGACACAGAAGATTAATACAATGTAATTATGATGCAGAGAAACAGTAACTGAATCTCCTTCCAAACCTCTAGGAAACAAAAACATATCTGATACCCAAATGTCACTGCCTCTCTCTAGGGCATCATCTTAAAAAGATTTAAGTACCCTGCCCTCACATCTGCTGTTAGAAAGAACCTTGTGGAAACACTGCTCCTTGGGTACTTAGAAAAGTTCTTCTAATTTCTAATCTACCTTTGTCCAGAATTAATTAAAAATCTTCTGATGTTTTTCTTCTGTAAACTCTCTGCATAAATGGTTCTTTCGTTCCTTCCCCAATAATGCATCTGTAAAAAGCCCCCATAGCCCTTCTCAACAAAGTAAACTCCTTTTATCTCTTTGCAGAATATAAATACTTCAATCTTCTAATCACATTCACAGTTTTTCTCTGCACCTACTTTGATTTAAGCTAGTCTTTCTTGAACATAACGATCCTTGAGATAAAACCTTGATCTTGTCATGAAATGATGATGCCTAATTGTAAAAATATAGATTGCTGTGGTTGTTTGCATGGTAGTTTAATTGCACTGTAGATGCCTATCCAGACATAACAAATTTTTTTCTCAGGTAGTAATTTGCCTCACAAAGATTACTGATGTGAATGAAAAATAGACTTATTATGGTTATGATGCAAGACAGAATGTGTGTACAGAGTGGCAATACTCCTTTGTGATGTGGCTTAACTAACAGCGAACCAACTGCTGGACTCTGTGTTGGTGAATGAAATGTATTAAGTCTGGGTCACTTTGCAGCAGAGAAATTATTACATGACAAACCTTTCTGTCTTTTAGCATCTGTGACAAAAATGTTGCACTCCCATCTAAAAGTGACACAGCTATAGCCATATTTTTAGCATGCCAAGGGAAATGAGAATTGGGGGACAAACATATTGTTCCTTTGAGTGCACCCTCCAACATATTGGTTGAGTGTCTGGACCATGACAGTTCAGGCATGCCCCAATGCAGCTACATATGTACAAGAGGGAGTCCCCCAGGAGCCAGGTCTTACACAGGCACCTCAGGACGTTCCTGGTTTCTGTTCTGCTGTTCTAGAAGTAGAGGGTGCTCTTCAGACTGCAAGTCAGAATGAAGTACTTGGCAAGTTAAAAACAAAAGATCCAAGACAAAACATTAGAAGGTGTGAAAGACTGAAATTATTCAACAGAAGGAGAAAGCTCCTCATAGGCAGATCTGCTAAAACAGATTAAACAGGTCTAATCGTATTTACTATGCCTAATCTGAGTACACTTAAGATTGATTTATGAAAAAATCCATTCCCATACGGCTATTATTGGTACTGGCAGCCATCTTGAGCTCTCTGTCCTTGATAACACAGCCAGTGAGCTAAAAAGGTGTCCGTTCCCTCTCAGTGTCAAGGAAATCAATCAGCGATTTTATTTCCTGTTAGGGAAGACTCTGCAATACAGTTACAAAACTTTGTTACTAGCAGTATTTTGCAACCTTCACAGCAATAATAGCGTTTTGATGACCAGTTCTATTAAAAAAGGGGGAAGTCTAAACCACAAAAATATGCGATCATAAAAAAAGAGATTGTGCGAAAAAAACAGCAGTGACTTTCTATACTGAGATTTCCACTGTGTTATTAAAGTTCTCTGCTGGGGGTGGATCCATATTGCAGTGCTCTGATGGAATATGTCAGAAGAAGAATAGAAGTAATTCAAGTGTTAAGACCTAAGAAGGGTATTTCTTTAAGGCTATATCTTCCAACAGGATGAGCAGCTGTCATATGGATCAAGCCTAAAGTCTCCATTAAGCCTAAACCTTAACACTTCCAGATAGCACAGAGGAAAAAGCTTGCAATCCCAGGCAGTCATTCTGCTGTAGTGTCCACTAATGCTGTTACCTTTAGTAAAATGTATTGTCTACTAATAACATAGTGCTCAGCGTGCTTCACGCTGCTGTGTACAATTATTCCAGGGTTCAGATGGGTTTGTGTATTACAGATTAGCAGCTGTGAAATGGCATTTCTGCAGCAAACTGGTTTGAGCAAAAGTGAATCACCTTACTGAATCTCCTCATGGGTCAGTGGACCCTTTTAGAGGGGAGTTGTAAAAATCAGTACTTTGAAGCTACAAAGTACCTGATGGTCATATCATTCTGTAAAACTTGAGACTGATACTGATGCCCTTCATCACAGTATTTGCATGACTTTCAAAGAAAAGCAATAGTCTCTGTTAGACCTCATGCAATCTCTGGTAATTTCCCTTGGAGGGCAAGAGTTACAAAGTTATCATAGCTATCCTTGTCCAGCAGTGGTAATGTGAATGGCAGGGTACTGGCTAGAAAACAAGAGATCTTCATAAAGAAAACTTAGATGAGATTTGGAATAAGGTGATAGTGCCACATCACACAGTAAACATGGTAACAGGGCAGGCCTGGGTGAAATAGCTAAATTAGCTAAAGACCCAGACTGCATTCTATAAAATCTAGACTGTTCCTGTTAAACTGGTCTTCAGGTCAACGATCTCCTTCCCTACCATGAACTGGAACAGAAGAAAAGGCCATTCACATATCCAGGTGCAAACCTCTAATTACTAAGTGGTTTTTAAAATACATTCCTATGCAAATGTCTTGGTCACTTCTAAGGTGAAAGTAAAACATCAGAAGGACCACATCTTCAGCTTTCACTAAGTGGCACCAGTGATTTACTGGCTCAAATAATACTTCAAACAGCCTCCAAAAAAGACAGAAACAAACAAAACCAACTCAGCTGAGCAGTCAAGGCTAACTTTAAATATAAACAAAGTGGTATTTGTTTGGAAGTGTACTGGGGACACTAAGAAGGCCATGGGTGTGCTGCTAGGATCCTGGAAAGTCAGAGTAGCTGCTGAAAGAGAAAACAGAGTGCAAGTGACAGTGAGAACTACAGGGGAGAGAGGACTTCCCATCCTCTGTGATTAGCATAGGATAGCAAGCTTCATGCCAGGATTCTTCCACAGCTCTTTCTCTGTCTGCAACAGCCCCTTTCCTTCCCCCCTAGCAAGATCTTTCTGGCCCAACTCCAGTCCAGGCTCCTCATCCTTAGGACAGAAAAATTCAGTTTTGTTTACATAAGCAAGGAGCCTTGAACTGGTTCTGCAAGGATTTCACTATGCAGTGAAATCCTTAGGTGGTTTAGGAGAGTAAATTGGAGGTATACATACACAAATTCCATTTATGCTTGAAGTAAAAAAAAAAAAAATCATAGAAGTGCATTAGCATAACTTGGTATATGTGACATAAACCATTCTCCTAAAGTCAGCACACAGGTATCTTCCCATCACTCCACACACTGCATATGTCAGAGAAGAGAATGAGTGAGAGTGGCAGTACTGATTGCCCTTTTATCATTGGACAGATACCATATTACAAATGAAAAAAAGCACAAGCCAAACTCCAAATAGTTTTGAAGTATCTAAGTTTAAAAGGAAGCAGGAAGGTGATCCATCTAACTGTGGGAGGAGGAGAGCAGGACAGGCCATCAATAAGTCTACGCAGGAGAACTAGAAAAGGTTCAGAGGAAAACAACAAAAGCGGTAATAGTTATGGGATGATTTCCGATTGAGAAACAATTAAGTAGACTAGGTCTCTTCAGCCTGGAAAATAGATGACAGAGAGAATATGGTAAAATTCTATAATGCTGTAAATGGCATGCATAGGTGAACAAGGAATGACTGCTCACTAATTCCCACATAAAAGAGAGGCAAAAAAATGAAGGTAGCAGGTGGCAGGTTCAGTGGAAACAAAAGAAAGATGTTCTCCCTAAAACAAATAAATCAGCTGTGGGATTGTTTGCTTCATGTGTTTGTGGACATTAAATTTTTACATAGGTTCAAACAGTGATTAGATAAATTCACGAGGGAAACTCCTATGAGGCCTGTTCAATGCGAAGACGTTCTCTTTGGCTCAAGAAGTTCCTTCTTTGCATCTGGAATAATATATAGAAGGAATACTAGTGTAAAGTATCTTTATACGCTTTCCCTA